ACGGCTTTCAGCTACATCCGAACCCATTACCTTCCGAAGTGCCCGGAGGGAAATCAAGCGAGTCCGACCCAGATGGCGCAGGCGATTGACTCCTCTTCGCAATTGGTGGAAAATCTCCCTTTCTGGTCGACGTTTCAGGAGTATCTGAAATCGGTCAGTGAAGTGCAGCTGCGGGGATTGGTGAGGTCTACGATTGAAAAAGTGATTGACGTGATTGGCAGTGGATTGTTCGAAACGGTCATCCCTTTTTTGGTTTCGCTACCAGTCTATCGACTGCAAATATGTCTGGGTCTGGAACGATGCAGCTTGTGATGCTAAATTTGGATCATGGAAAAATTTGTGTTGCATGATTACCAAAAGCTGTCCAGTTTTGACCAAGTTAGGCGGGAGTTTCTCATGCAGGGTAGGCATGATACAGATCTCACAGGAGAATCTGTCATGCTAGATCCTGCATTCCAGACCTCATGTGTCATGTTGGACCTGCATGAGAAGTCTAGTCTTGCACTCTTCTAGACCCAGACATATTTGCATTTGATACAATCGTTGGAAACGCGATTTCCTCGATCAAGCCGGGGATTCGTGTACCCTATGTAAAAACGCCCCCATCCCATAGTCAAGTTGGTAAATCTGCAACAGAAATCTCCAGGCTTTGGGAGTTGTGCATGACAAGTTCCCATCTGCAGTGTAATACGGGAGGCCGCATGAGAGAGCCATTTTCTGATCCTGTCTACAGCATTGCAAATGTTAGGACACGATTGCAAGTACGTTTCATGGAGATGCGCATTACAAATGTTCCTGTCATTGCGCATTTGCATAACAGCTCTTGGGTGGGGACGTTTTTACATAGGATACCGTGCGGCGTTTAATTACGTCGCGGAGAAGATTTTGGAGCAGGCCGAGAGAATCGAGGACTGGCTGGCGGGATTCGGGGAAGACCTAGGGGAGAAGTTGGTGAACATGTTCCTCGAGCGGGTTCCGTGTCTGAACCTCGTGGATTATCAAATGTGATTTATCTCTGGGTCTGGCAGAAGGCTAATGTTTGTGATGCACCACATTTATTTCCATGGCCCACGGCCACGCCCAGCCGCAGCCCCATAAGTAGCTCTGTGATGCAGGTCCTAGGAGGTGATGCTTTCGCTTTGCTGTGCCTGTTCTGCGTGAGAAATTTTGTTTCAGTGCGGCCAAAAATACACAGCGTTAGTTACTCACGCAAGACAAATTTTTGTGTTGTCGAGAGGACGCATCACAGACTTGCACTCTACTTCCAGACCCAGGCATACTCGCAATGCATATGGATCAGATGGAGGAGTGGATCTTGGGTCAGGCGGAAATGGACGACATGACCGAGGCGGCGCTGACGAAGGAGAAGGAGGATGCAGAGGAGGATGATGCAAATCTTGACGACAGCGCTCCTGCGGGTAGCACAACTACAGCAGAGGAATATGATGACTATGATGACGATACAACGGACGATGATCACGACAACGTCTTTGTAGCTGAAGAAGAAGATGATGACGACGAGGACCAAAACTTCTCTACTTCCGGCTTTGTTCAAAAGCGGATGCAAATGGACCGGTTTTTGCGCGGTATCCAAGACGACGTGGTAGGTGGACACCAAAAGCAAGGAGAAGAACACTTCGACGATGAGACCGGCCCTAACGACGACGACGACGAAGCGTTTGCGAAGGACATCGTGTCGGTCAAGTTGCTGCGTCGCTTGAATGTGCATGCTGGAACAACTAATGTTGCTGACCTGCAAGAACACGACTACAACCTCGATGTTGGCTTTATTTCCACCAACAACCTGACCCTGCTCGAGACGTCGTCAAGGTCGTACACCGCAGCACTCGTCACTGAAACAAGCAAATTCCAGATGAAACAGAAGATGAATCTGGACACGTTTTTCGCCAAGTTCAACGAGGTGAAAGAGCACATCGTCAGTGAAATCGGGAGCAAACTACCGGAATTCGTTGACAAAGTGTCGGAACTTGTGCAAAGCACCTTCCAGGCCCCGTTGAAGACCCTACTGAGCAACAACATTCTCGCCAGTATGATTGCGATGCTCGGGAAGGGCTTTTGCCGGATCGTGGTGATGGCGTTTCAAGCGGCCATGCCCTTTGTCAGCACCGCTGCCACCACCGCGGGGAACACGATGCTTGGGGAAGCCAACATGAAGATGATTACGAGCGCTGCGTCCACGGTGATGCCGTGGCTGATCTCGAATTTCCTGTACGAGGCAACCCCGATTCACAACGCGTTGAAAATATGCATTGCAAATATGTCTGGGTCTGGAAGAGTGCAACTTGTGATGCTGCATTTGGATGCTGAAAAAAATCTGTATTGCATGAGGAGCAAGAGGAGTCAAATTTGGCTACGGGGAGAGGGCATCTGTCATGCGGGATGCGCATCGATAAGCGCTGAAAAAACCTGTGATGCGAGAGCATACATCACAGACATCATGGATCATGGAAAATGTGCATAACAAACAGACATATTTGCATTCGATAGAAAATGCTCGTTGACAAGCTGCTCGCGGACGAAACGATCAAGGGCATTTTTGACGCGGTCGCCGAAGTATGAGAGTGCACAACTCCCCCTCCCCCTGATTCGTATTGCATGAGCAGCAATAGAAACACCAGCGCACATGGAGCCTGCTGCGCATGACAAGCTCATGCGCGTCATGTAGTACTGTTTAGGCTTTTAGAATCTGTCATGCATAATAGTAACGCAAGGGAGCACTTGGATACTCATGGGATTTTGCATGAGAAATGAAAACGAGGGGGAGTTGTGCACTGTTATACGAAGTGATGGAGAAGCTGAAGGGCATTGGCGCGTTTTCCCTGTTTACCGACGCGTTAGAACAGGCTTGGAACTCGATTAAGTCGAAGTTGACCGGGGCAGATTTGCCGAGCGAAGAGGTGACAAATGAGGTCGAGAAGGAACACGAAAATGCGCTGAGTGCCCTGATATGAAGTGCAAAAGTATCGTACTGGTAGAAGCAAAGCGCATGACAAATTTTCTGAGCGTGAGAAATGAGCTTGGTAATGCGGATTTACCTCAAGGAGGAGATCGAGATTCAGATTTGCATTTGTAATGCATGACTTCGATTATTAAGTACTAGCACTAGGAGTGCGATACTTTTGCCATGCATACCTGACCTTCACCAAAGAAGACCTAATCGAGGAGGAGCTCGCGACCGAGTGCCCCAGCGGCTACGAGCCGCTGGCGGATTC